CCAAAGGGGTTAATTTCCAGGAACCCTCAAGAGAGAAGCATTCCTCCTCAGAAGATTAACAGTGGACTGGGGTCTTCTCCCAGTATTTATTTTCCAGGGCAGGAGGTTACAGAAAAGGAACGTAGGTGGAGTTATGGCTAAGTATAGTTTAACAATAACAAAGTGACATTCCATAATGCAATTAGTCAAAAGTTAAGTTGGTCCACCAACAAAAGCTTGTTCTTAGCAAACACTTTCTTTCCCTACAGCAATGTCCTTAGCATATTTACATAACAATTAAGTAACTTTCTTAACATATCAATCAGTAGGCTAACCTGCACCAAGGACATCCATCCTTGAGCCAGCATTTTGCTGTGTTATAATTCTTTATCTACAACACAGACTTTAGCCTGGGGAAAATTTCCTGTCTTTTGCAAGCTTAACATTTCTATATGTAATTTTAAAAAGTTAGGCTTAAACCTGAAACTACAGGGCTTTGGAGGCCCTGTGAAATACATTTGCTTTATTAATGTTAGTGCTCTCTATAGCTTTCAACAAATAATTTTTATTGATGGCCTCATAATGAGTAATAGTTTAGGATTAATACTGATTCACATCTAGATATTATTAGTCCTCAATTTTTGCTAATTTCTAAATACAACACAGGTTGTTTTCTCTCTAGTGTACATTTCTTAATTATGCATTAACTTATTTAGCTATCTAATGGTAGGCGCCACAGTAAAAAAGCTCATTTTCCCCTTTCTAAGAGAATTATTTGCCCATAAGGGTAAAGTAACAAATCCAGTGTTTACTGGTATTTCATAGCATTATGAATTAGCCAATCTCAAAATAAAGGTGAAGCTGCTTTGTTCCCAGCAGAGCTGAGATCTACAGAACTTTAGAAGCCAAAGTTTTAAAAATTTATTAAATTTATAAAAATTGTATTAAATTTTCTTCTTTGGTTTGTGGAGGTTCATTTTTATGAGAATTTAATAAGATTATATATACAAAAAGCCTGGAAGAATGACGTGAGAAAGCAATCTGGTACAGACATTAGAAGTGACGAGCAGATAATCATTAGTAATTTACCATTTACATATTTATTAAATTACAGACCCACTGTTCTTCTCTGCCTACTTCTAATAATTCTTAATAAACTAGACATTGTTTTTAAAGGATAGCTATAATCATTTTTAATTATAGGCAAATTTTTTTTTTGATGATCAAGGATAGTGTGTAACCAGTAGGACGTCTAGTCACTTCATTATAAGATTTATAAGGGAAGGCTTGATTGTTATTTTCATTATTGTTATTATCAGCATCTATAATACCAGACTACTGAAGGCTTAAGACAGTCTTTCCAATCTTCCACATGGATTAATTTAGACATGAAGATTACATCATCGCTGCTTCAGACCGCATATAGAGAGAATTGAAATTGTGGGGCCAACAGTAGACTGTCCTTTCAATACATCTATATGAAAAGGCTGATTAATATTGAAAAATACAATAGTTACACTTTTGCCAGACTCTGTGAGGGTCAAATAAAGAGACAACTAATTGCTGAGGAACACTTAAACTTGTGCCAGCAATGAATATACAATCATCAGCGAGCTACTGGTTATTTAAAAGAGTCAACATTATGCATAGGTTTAATTTTAAATGGCTGTGAAAAAATTTCAGAAGTAAATCTTTACNCTTGAACTGATTGCAGAACTGAGAGCAAGAAATAAGTTTGTATCATGGTGCAAAGTGCCTTCTCCTGGACACCAGCCTTAGTCAGACCACCTTATGGTTAGTGGGTTCATGATTACACTTTTCTGATTTTAAGTTGTGACATCTATAATATAATACTGTCAGCAAACAGTTGTCCTGAGTAAAAAGTTGTCCTTTGCATCTACCCAGTGGGATGTGCAGTGAAACAGTACTACTGTACAAAAAGTTTCTTCTCTGTGAGTTCCTTGAACAGGAGCAGGACAATGTCTATTCTTTGTATTATAACTCTCCAGCCACCCTTCTGTGGTAGACTCTTACTTTGGCTTCCAATGAAACAGGATCCCCTTCAGTATTCAAACCCTTGTGTGTTCTCTGCCCACATTGAATCTGGGCTTGGCCGTTTGACTAACTTTGGCCAGCAAGATATATTTGCAAGCGTGAAACAAGACTTGATTACCAAGCATGATAAGCACTTGCATACTGGGACTCACCCTCCTGACACCAGTTCCTAGGATACTTCCTTTTGGGACCCAGTCACTGTGCCTTGAGAAGCCCAGCTTAGCCTGTGCAAAGGCAACATGGAGGAAAACTAAGGCACTGGTTAACGATTCCAGCTGAACACCCAGGAAGACAGCTAGCCTCAACTTGCTAGCCATGTGAGTAAACAGTATTGGGATGGGAGCAAATCTTCCAATCCCAGTTGAATCACTCCAGCTGATGTTACATGTAGCAGAGAAGAGCTATCTTCAAGAAGCCCCACCAAAATTCCGTAGGAGTAAGCAAATAAATGATTGCTGCTTTAAATCAAAAAAAATTGGAGTGGTATATGATGCATCGTTAGATAAATGAAACACGTTTCTTCCAAAAGGCTTCATACCTATCTCTTCAGCCTTATGACTTTACACATACGAGGTTTTCCATATTGTTGGCTGATAATGAATGGCTTTCTGTCACCTCTCTCCCCACAGGGTGATGGAGACACAAAGGATTACTCAAAGCCCATTTTTTCTGAGCAGTGAGAAGCCCCAAAGGGGTTAATTTC